TACGGCAACATCACATTGAAACACTGATTCTCATGTGATCACCGATGTTAAGCAACGTCAAGCCTGGTCAATACCTAGACGGGTCACCGCTTGGGAGTACCAGGTGCTGTAAGCTCGAATTTATGCATAGAATAATGACCTTCCGACTATATGTTTAAACACCGGTTCTGGTACGATCACGCAAGTTAAGCAAGGTTGAGCTTGGTCAGTACCTCGATAAGAGACCGCTTGGGAATATCAGGTAGTATAATCTTAGATTTGAGAGTGGTGTATTGGATAATGACTCGAAATTGCTTTTCGGAGAGTTGAGTTCTAATTCCAGTTGAGTTTATTATATTCACTTACACGCAAATGCCCTGCTGAAAGGTATCAATCAACCGCTTCTCTCACCAGTTCTGAGTTAATTAATAGGAGTTTTAACTCTAAATTATTATCTCAAAAACATTCTTACAACATAAAAATATTTAAATAACCGGCAAAGGGTTGATAATCCCTAGAAAACGAATGAAATACTGATTAGCTACAGGCGTGTCTTTTAGATTCTGGAATATAAAAGTATCGAAACTTCATTAGTCACAAAATGAGGGATCATTTTATATATTTATTGTAATATGCAATTGATCCCCCATTTTTATCCACATAACAATTTATTGTTTTTTTTTTTTATCAAATTCTGATTAAATATGAATTCCCCTCTTCTTCACCCCAGCTATGGGTTAATTAGTAAGTTTTTCATCACTAAATCATTATGATCTAAAAAAATATTCTTCCAATCTAAAAATATTTTCTGACTTTAAATAACATGAAAAGGTTGATAAACCGTAAAAAACGAATCAGTGACCAACTTCCTTTACATATCTGGGTGGAAAGCCGGAGATGTGGAGGAAACTCATATTGCACAAGACACGCAACACATCCATGTATAGCGTGTCTTAGTAATTTGATCTGAAGTGGTTATTAGGTGGGAGGTATTGCGATGTTTGTTAGCTACTGTCTAGAAACCCCTCGCCCAGTCGTGTTACCGGACTGTCTGGATCCATTGAGTTGTCACTGAGTCGACACTATTACGCTAGATAGCTGTTCATTGTATGACTAAATTATTAATTTTCCAATCTAAAAATATTTTCTAGCTTTAAAGAACCCACAAAGGGTTGGTAAGCCATAAAAACGATTTTTTTTTACATCCTGGGTAGATATATTATTCAAGATAAGAAGAGGCTATAATAAAATGAAATAAATCTATTAACAAACTAACACTGGAATTATTCGCTGTACAAATTTTAGCCCACACGCATAAATATCATTGTATCTCCTCTCCCTGAAGATGTTATCTAACAAGAGTAACATAAAAAAAGAGCAACAAGATCAAGTGGATGACAACTGCCCGCAAATGCTGTTATCCCTATCAACACAAAAAGATTTATATATCTGTTCTCTGGCTTCTAACCGCCTACGACTTTGATTCCTCAGTGACCCTTCTACGCCAACTCTGCCATCACATAACTTACCACCAGCAATGACAGGGTGATGTTTTTCATCGTGAATCGCTCAGCACATGTCGGCAAAGGCGTATAATGAGTTTTATCTGAAAGGATTTTATTTTATTCATCCATTTATTTCATGTTTTATTCTGGAAGAAACTAGAAACTAGAAAATGGTCACTAAAGTTTTTTTTTTTTTTTTTTTTGCATATACATGATACATACTTTTGCGGACAGTGAAATGGTTGTTACAGATCCAATAAATAGATTTTACTAAAGATAGGAAAGTAAACTCTTGTTATCTCTGTAGATATCTGTCTCCGTCTGTTTATATCTATCTAAACTGAGGAGATGAAATATGAATACCCGCCTAGTATGCTATTGTTCCCCGACAGAATCCATCTTTCAGGTTTATACATCCACCATTCGTTCGTGCAATGGATGCCTCTGCCATATCTGGTCTGGTGCTTCTGCTATATATATCGAGATTCTTCAATAGCTGTCTATATTTCTGAGATGAGTTATTGTAATTATTTACATTGTTCGGACTATTGTCCTCATCTTTGTCGCCATATTTACGATTTTTAGCCATTGTACGCTCCGGCATTCTTCAGGATTTGTCTATATTTCTGAGATGAGGTATTTCAATTATTTACGTTGATCGGACTGTTGTCCTCATCTTTATTGCCATATTCACGACGTTTCGGACGTTGTTCGCCCCGGCCTTCTTCAGGATCTGTCTATATTTCTGAGATGTGGTATTGTAATTATTTACAATGTTCGGACTGTTGTCCTAACCTTTATTTCCATATTCAGGACGGACAATGGCCTGGTGGATGAAAGTGTTGGTTGGATCCAATGACTAGACCCAAAGAGTTGTGAGTTCAATCACTGACAACTGCTGTGGTGAACAAATGCTTGCGGAGTTTAGTTAAAAGGAGATAAATGAGATAGCAGTAAGACACATGGCACGTCAAACTACAACAATCTATCAGGGTGGACGACATAAAGAGTTCAGTTCGAAATTCTAATCAGCTGAGGAAGGCCGGGGTGTAAAGCGGCTGAAACGTCTCAATATAGCAATTGGAAACACAAGTTTGAACAATGTAAATAACCTGTAGATACTTGATAAAATTTAACGAAGAGTTTGCAATTTTTTCGATCTTGACCTGGCACCTCGACTTTAGTTAATTTCTGTGACGTGGCTTCTCAGTGTCTTTTTTATAAATATTTTTATGGCAATTGTTGAAATGAGCTCATCTCATTCGTTCATCGATCGCATAAATTTAAACGTACTACTAGATTGTCATTTAGGTCTCATCGTTTTACCGTGGAATTAGTAAGATATAACCGCAGTCGTGCTGGGTATGACTATAAACTACATCATGTAGCAAGGCGTCTAACCGGAAAGCTATGAGAAGCCACTTTATTAACGTTGTTCCAAAGCCTCTCTGACCCGGGGTGGTAGCACCTGTTAAGATACAAGCTACAGACAAGTCGCCCCCCCCGCACAAAAAAAATAAACAAAATTCTATAAAAATATAAATTTGGGAAAAAAATTAGCAGTAAACAATTAAATAAGCCATACGGAGTTGATATGCCATTAAACAAATAAACATGTAGCCGCAAGTTCTATTCTAATAGTTTCTTTCCTCGCACTTCTCATCTGTGGAACATACTTCAGATTTCTGAATTCGTTGTCACCTAAAATCTCCAGAAATTTAAATACAACGACAATCTGTTCTTTCCTTTACGTCATTTCTCAACACTCTTATTATCTTTCATTCCTCGTAATCCCAGGTATCTTAGTGGCTTTATTTCCTTTCTTAGGTTAATATAAAAGAGCATAAAGGTTTTATTAGCTTTCTTCGCTTATACACGAGGTTTATAATCTAATAGTATATTTTCTCGCATGTAGAATTCGCCACGGGTTTCTTGCTTGCCTGTTACCTAAAATCTTAAGCATTTTAAATGCAACGCCAGTCGCCATCTTCAGTCTTGCTGAACCTTGCTCTTTTATTACCCTTTCTCCTTACTAACGTCTTCTCATTCTTTTTCAGTAACCCCTTGCATCGTAGTGGCATATCGCCATCTTCTGTCTTCCTGAAACTGTTCTTTTATTGTCCTTTCTCCTCCCTAAAGTCCTCTCATTCTATTTCACTTCCACTAATCTCTTGTGTCTTAGTGGCATTATCGCCATCTTCTGTCTTCCTGAAACTGTTCTTTTATTGTCCTTTCTCCTCCCTAAAGTCCTCTCATTCTATTTCACTTCCAATAATCTCTTGTGTTTTAGTGGCATTATCGCCATCTTCTGTCTTCCTGAAACCTGTTCTTTTATTGTCCTTTCTCCTTTCATTCTATTTCCTCAATAATCCCGTGTGTTTTAGTGGCATTATCGCCATCTTCTGTCTTCCTGAAACCTGTTCTTTTATTGGCCTTTCTCCTCAATAAAGTATTCTCGTTCTTTGTCACTCTCAATAACCCCTTGTGTCATAGTGGCATTTTCGCCTTGGTTGTGAATAAAAGATATAAAACCGATCTCACAAAACAGCTATACTCGAATCAATCCTAGATTCTAGAAGAACACGTAATATTTCCTCTGAGATGTTGCAACAGGTTATTAACAACAGGTCCCTTAATTTTTCATGTTATGTCGATTGAGTTCATCACAGTGAATATCTTGTGATGATGATGTGTGAAATGTGGTACCACGAGTTATGCACTGCATACAACGGGATTCATTTATATCTTGAGTTCAACTGTCACTCGCAATCCCTTATCGCCTTGTTCTAGATTAATCTAGATGTGAGTAATGAATTGCAGATATAAACATAAAGCCCTGCATATGGTTATATACTGGTAATGAGTTTTAACGATGGAAAATACGATACTGAGATCCGAATTATCATTGGACAAGCGGATTTTCATTTGACTCAATTATCAAGGAAAATGACTGTAAAGCAGTCAACTTATATTGAGTGAAGTTTGTATAAAATTGTTTGAAAATTGAAGGAGTTTTAGTTTAGAATTTATGTTGAAATCGATTTTTTGTTTTTCGCGGTTTTTCGTTAAACGCAGTGGCGCAGAAATAAAAATGAGGTATCGTTGAGCTTGTCATGATGTAAGTAAGCGACAAACGGAGTTTGAATGAAATCGAAGAAACAAAAGTTGAATTTATCGATTTTTGATCGGTTTTATCTATTATTGATTTTTGAAAAAATATCGATTTTAAGAACCTATCTCTTACCTTGTACAATGTATCTGCCAAGTTTGGTCAAAATCGGTTGGAAAATCGGTGGAAAGGTATCAAACAGACAGACGGACACAACGACAGACAGACATCATCTGTTTTATATATATATAGATAGTGAATGACGGGCAATTTCCTCCGAGACGAACGGGAGACTTGAAAAACCAAAAATCTGAAAGAAAGCTGCTTAGAATATCATGGACGGATCATATGAGCAACGAGGAAGTTTATGGAAAATAATGACAATCAATATATATATAAAGTTGTAGACTGTTTGTTATCGAACTCCTCCTACAGTTTTGGAGATAGACCCCCATAACTATATATATATCCCGAAACTACATTATCCAGGGTACTGGGATAAGTATATTTCATTTCGATCAAAGACCCACCCCCATCCCGGGTCACCACGTTAATTTTTTTCTCTTTGATATAAATTAAATTTAAACTTGAACAAGGGAATGACTCTTAGGGTACGTAGATAAGTATATTTCATTTTGATCAAAAGGGGTCC